ATTATTTAACAAATAACCATGGGCAAACAATGCACCACCTCGAAATCTTAGTTTTCCCTATCTTCTCTACATGTTTTCTTGCTCTACCACTGAATTAGAGGTGTAAGTTTGAAAATTTTACGGCAAGCAGCCCCAGACACGTTCCTGTTACCATAGAAACCGTGATCGAAAGCTTGACAATATCTGTTGGACTAAACTCAATTGAATGTTTTTTTCACCCACTTTTGCTCAAAAACAGCTTATTTGGTGCTGCAAACTTTTTAGAGCTGGAAGAACATTATTTGTCAATATACTATTTCTAGCCCGTAAAGAAATGTCTAGGAAAGTTTCATGTCTTCACTACACAAATTCATACCTAATTTCATTAGAATATTTGCTGAAACTCGAGCGTATACTTTTGCGTTTTTGCATTTGAGGCTATTAATGCATAGATGCAATGCGATATCACTTTTTGTGGCCAGTTAGCAAGGCAGCATTACTTTCTATTTAAAAGATTAAACGAGAATATTGATATACAAAAAACGGGTTTTTTACATTTTTCCATGATTTATAGTTTCGATTATTTTGAATGACTGTATGTAGGGTTCAAGTCTATTGCACAGGTGTTTTCATATAGATGACATCTTTGCTACTTTAATAATTATTATCAACTTTGTATTTAACAAATGAAAAAAAAGAATTGTTCTCAGCAAGAGTACTAAAATTGATAGTTTTCAAAATAACTTCTCCTTTTCCCTATTCATCTTTACTTGAAAGGAAGTAATTTACAAATTGTAACATAGACGAGGAATTGATACTTTTATTTGCTCTTCGTAAATCTCTTCTTTATTGATGATGATTGACACTTACATAAGCTAACTTTCATATAATCACCTTTTTCTTGTTCTTGACCCTTTATTTGCAAAAAACTCAAAACTGTTGGGAAAGAAACATTGTGAGACTTGTGTCAGCCCTCTGCAAGGAAAAGCAAGCTCTAGTTCTTTTTTAGTGAACTTTTGATCAAGTGTTTTTTTGCGTCTTTTTCGGAAACAAAACACCTCATTCCTTATCTTTGCTAGTGAGGCACAAAGTCTCGACTCCTTTCCCAGCTTAAAGTACTTGCCATTTCTTCAGATTTTTTCCCCGTGGTTGCCGAACATTCCTAGAACTCAGCGAAATGACCGCGTAAGTGTACAAGTTCTTTCAACTTTTTTCTTACAGCCTCTACTCTCTCGCCGATCGTTGCCGGTTGTCGCACTCCCGAGAGGGAGCTGTTCTGCATTTGCCCCTCGTTTCCGCCACAACTCCCGCCGTTGTTCACCGCGTTCCGTAAGCGCGGAACAACGCAATCCGTGATGAGCTCCACGACGAACCCTACTATTGAGACCACGACGAGCTCTAATGGAGGCTTGAACGGTGGTGAGATTGCTCTCATCGTTATTGGATCAATCGTAAGTTCCACATAATGTTATTAAAGATATACAATTTTGATTTAGACTATTTTCTTGACGAAAACTTTTGTTCTTTTCTTTCTCTATCTTCTTTTCGATTCCGAATTTCATACATATGAAAGTTTATGAATGGCAGTACACTACACCCAATAAGTGACATTCGGAATATCATATTTGTTTTCTTCATAGATATAGCAGGAAGCTTATTTGAAAAGTTTAAGTGTGAGATGCTTTCTCATTCCGGAAAGAGTGACTATTTTTTTAAGTAGTTACTTTACTTACAGCATCACAGTGAAGATTTATTAACATTCATGCCAGTAGCAGCTTCTTCTGCTTTCCCTTAAAAAAAACAATTTTCTAAGCACATCATTAAGATTCATTCAAAATTTTTATTCACATTCATTCATTCAGAATTTTTATTTCCATTTTTTGCGGTGTAGGCTTATTTCGAGGTCTATGATTTTATTCTTGGCAGCGGAATGCGATTTTTAAATTTATCCCTTCTGATCGTCATCGCTTTGTGGTCGGACTAGTTCATGCCGTTTTTTTAGCTCGAAAAAAGTTTCCCTTTACGACATAGCATCATTGGCTTACGCATTGACTTTGGCTGTTAAATTAAAATGTTTCAAGCAAGCCAAAAAAGCTCAGTCCGCAGCTTGGTTTTTTTCGAAAAAAAACCTTGAAATTTGCCGTAATGAAACGCCTACTCGCACAGTAAAATTTCATTGTAGAATCAAGGTAGATATGCGGTGGAGGTCAAAATCACCAATCTACCAGAAAAGAAAAATTTGTATAACCTTCATATCTATAATGCAAGTGACTTCTCATAGAAAATAGAATAATTTTCGTAATCAGCATGCCAACTAATCTCACTAGGCCACTTTTAATGCAAATTTTTTCTGCAGCTTCACCATTGCAATCGCAGAATGAGATGCTATCATGGGTGGTTATGATATTTGTAATTAACATAACCAGTTGCTCCATCGGATAGTGTTACTGTACATTTCGAGCCTCTTTACGTTTCAAAATAACAAGCTGTCTGTTGAGCTTTTTTTTAATACAAAACACAATTTTAGCCGTTCCAATATAAAAAATTATATGTCAGACTAATTAAGTACAATTTTTTGTAAAGGGATACTTTCAAATGTTATGAAATGCGATGCCAACCGCTTTTTTGAGTTTTTTGCGTTAAAAAATCACGGCATAAAATAATTCAACAACCCAGTTATGTTTTTTATAGCAATTTATTTTGAGATAAAATAGTTAAGCTGGAAATTCTCTCAAAATAAGATGGGCTAGGGTTTTTTTTTGAAATGCTCCAATATAGCTCTTTCGCGAAGTGCAAACTATCTACATGGAATGGACATTAAATTCTAACCAAACGTGATCTACTAGGTTGTAAGAGAAGTCGTGCAGCTTCAAACCCCCATAAAATAAAAATTTAAACGTTCAGAGGTTAGCTTTGAGCTTTCTGAAAGAAGAGTTCTTCCTTTACACATCATGCTTAGTTTTCTCAGACAGTCCAATTTACGGTATTTTGGAAGTCGATGAAGTGGAATGTCTGGCTAATAATGAGACATTCCAACAATTATTCTTCATGACAACACAAAATCTTGAATCTCGCTAACGCTTTACCCAGTAAGTTATCTGAGGTGCTGAGACCTATAACATTTGCAACATTCTCGCAGGATAAGTTAGTATCGTAGGATGACGATAAGGCGATATAAAGCCAAAATCTTAGAGTCGCATCCAATTTCCGGTGGGCGTAATGAGCGCACTAGACAGGAAAATCATAATCATCCTCGCGACAGTAAATTTTGCTTAGTAAATACGAAGCTATTCAAGAACTTTAAGGAAGAACAAAAATATTAACGCCTTTATCGTCTGACTACTGTCTGTACAGTTGTACAACATCAGGACGTCACTTCCCTTCACTGGACCATATTTTCGTAGTCTACAACTGTGCTCCTTCCACCCTACCTACCATAGTTACCGTAATCCTGTAGGTTTCTGCAATACCAATGCTCAACGGACGTCGTAATCAGCATATCGTATGTCAAATAACCCCAATAGATAAAGTTTTATTTAGTTTGAGATTGTAAGTTTACAGGAAGAGACAAATTTTGGCTTCTTAGCATATTAAAATCGATTATTAGGGAAAATCGAGCACTATGTTAGGCAAGAATTTCTTCCGGGCGCTTGAGACTTGCAAAATCTGATTTTTAAGAGTTTTGGAAAAAAACACTTGAATTTAGACA